ATGTCTCGGATGGAGGAGTCACGGGGGATTCTCGTGGGACGGCTATAAGTTCTACGAGAGTTTTGATTAGGCCACCCTGAGGGATCGGTCTCTCGAAGCTGGGCTCTCCCCCGTTGTGGTCAAAGCTACCTACAACTTCTGGAGAAAGCCCAGAAACTTGCGAATCGGAACCGACCATAGCCTGGTGCCGTTGTACGCTCGTAAAGGCTTACCTTCGGGATCGTGCCTCAACGATATCAATGTCAGAGTGTATGTGCTCCGCCCGTTTGACGGTGTCTGTGAGCGCAACTCCAGTGTGGACTTGGCCTCGTACATTGGCGATGACACCACAGTCAGTTCGTACGGCTCCTCTCACGTTGTCGATAGCCTCGGTCGAGCGGCCGAAGACATGCACCAAGTTTTTGTTAAAGAGCTAGGCGTGGGCCTGGCTGAAGGCAAATTAGTGGCGTTTGGGTCGACCCCTGAAATGTCGCTGTGGTTGGGGAAGAGGCTCGGAACACTGACGGGGACGATCGGGACGCATCTGGTTCATTGGAGGTGGACTTGGCTCCTGGGGTGCAGCGCAAAAATCCGCCGACCCTGTCGGCGTGTGGAAGAGGCGTCTCCGTCTGTTCCCTCTTCGTCGTCGTCGTCGTTCCTTCCCCTTTCCCCACAGCGTCGTTGCTTCTACCCCTCTCCCAGGGCCTCCTCCTGCAGCGTGCCAGTCCAAAGCGAAATTGAGCAACGTCGTAATTGAGTCGAAGGGAAGCCCCTTCCCTTTGATCCCTTCCCCGCCCGGGGAGGGGGGGTCCCGGGGTGGGTCCCGGGGGGGGTCCCGGGTTTTTACCCCGCCCCTCCCAGGGAATCCCGGAGCCCAAAAAAGCCCCAAGACGGGCCAAGAGTGCCCCAAGAGGCCCCCGAGACGATCCAAGAGGGCCCCGAATCGCCGAATGATCTGTCCAAGACGCCTTGACGGCCTCCAGACGGCCCAAGAGGCCTGCGAGACGCCCCAAGAGGCCTCCAGGACCGTTCCCACGAGAGCCCCAAGAGGTAAAAATAATCGATTTCCCACACGTTTTTCAAGAATTGTGGCTTTTTCGCCTCTTGTGCTTCCCCACGCGCGAAGACGGCCCAAGTGGCCCCCCGGTCGCCCCGAGACGGTCCAAGAGGCCTCCAAGAGAGTCCCCAAACGGCCCAAGAGTGCCCCAAAACGGCCCAAGACGCCTCCAAGACGGCACAACAGGCCCCCAAGACGGTTCCAAGAGAGTGCCCAGACGGGGGACCCGAACGGACATTTCGAGCCCTCAGCCCCGAGAAGCCCCCAAGAGGCCCCCAGGAAGCCCAAAAAGGCCCCAAGAGGCTCCCAAGAGGCCCCCAAACATCCCCCCAAAGGTCCCCGAGAGCGCTCGGAAGAAACCCAAAGAAGCACGTTTGAGGACTCAACCCACGTCAGCATCGTCGTCGTCGCTACCGCCGACGCCGCCGTCGTCGTTCCCCTTCAGGGTCGGCGGCACTGGCCGTAAGGCCTTCGCAATAAGAAGGCTTGTGCTAAGCGGAAGGTGCGGTTGGTGGATGCTGTGCGTCGACATAGACGGCTGACCACATGTAGGAGGGCCCTTCCCAGGGACAAGGGCCGCATCGGTAAGACTTACACGGCGGGGGTGAACCTGAAGTGTGTTTTGGGGAGACGGTCACGGGGGCCACCGGTGTTGCGCTGAAACGTATGAGGTCTATCATGCTGTCTTACCTTTCCCCTGCCCATGCGGGTGTTTCGACGAGGACCAAAACGGCGTTGCACGGCGACCCCGTCTAGCGCAGCATGGCTCGCCTGCCTCGGCCTGGGCCTGAGCCGTTTGGCAAGTGTTGACTAAGCCTGAACTACCTTTTTTCAGCCTGCCCGGGCTGGGGAGGATGGGGATGGCCGTGCACCAGAGATAGGACGGAGCTACTTGGGCGAACAGCAAGGGCCCAATGAGTAGGATGCTCTTGTCTCTGGGTAGGCTCGGATGGGATGCCACTTCCCCATTCGATTGGACAGATGGACGCTGGGTGGATCCCTGCCTGTTTTACAATTCCCCCGCAATCCTGGGGCTGTGCTGCATGAGGGGGGCCAACGGCACCATGAGCGGAAGCTGGCTGCCAAGATAGGGTGGCCTGAGGGTTCGAGAGTTTGCGCCGACCCCAAACGACGTATTCCAACCCCGAGTCCAAGGGTATATGGCTTAACTCCCAAGGAGAATACATGGTTCGGGCAATGTTTTGTGATGCTTCTTGGACGGAAGAGCGGGCCCGCCAAGCGGGGTATATTTCTCAGGCATTGTGCCCATTGTGCGAGTCGCCCGACTCCTTGGGACACGAACTGTATTGATGTGTAGGTAGCCGTGAGGTCAGGGCGGCTAAGGAGGCCGTCGAGGCCAGCGACTTGTTCTTCCAGAAGGTCGACGAAAGTGCAGCGAAGCTCTCTGAAGGACTCAAATACCGACACCCTTCGACTGATTGGCAGCCTATCTCGAACGTTCATGAACCGTCCTTGTTCGATGAAAATGGGCAGCCTGTGGACTGGAGTGAGATTAACACTGAAACGCTGAACGCGGCGGGTGACGGTTCGTGTGCACCTCACCCCATCAAAGAGTTGTCTCGGGCTGCATAATAAAATGGTCGCGGCGGAAGGGGCGGTGCGCTGGGTTGCTGGGGAAGGGGGGCGGGAATGTGT